ATACAGAATCTATAGCTATATACAAAATAAAACATACAATAAGCTAAAGAAAACACATAGTATATAGCTATATACTCTACCTGGTATTTAAAAAAAAATAAAAACCATCAAAATAATTATTTTTATCCAGAATTTCTTTTTTTTTTTTTTTTTTTGTGGTTTGACTCGGTGCTGCCCCAACTTGTTGTTCACCACATACCAAAATAAATTGCTTAGTGTTGTATGTGGTGATGCAAAGTTAAATGTGACACTGTTACCATTAGTTATAAAACTAGGAAAATTAAGTATAAGGAAATTAGCATCCAGAATTTTTGAAAAAAAAAAGTTCTATAATAGGGTAGCACAGCTGCAAAAAATATAAATCTAGATAAGTAATTTTTTCTTAAAATAAGTGCATTTGTTCTTGGACTGAAGAGGTAAAAGAGACATTTTGCCAATGGAACAAGACAATTTATACTTAAAATAAGAAAACACAGTTGCATTGTCTTAATTCAAGTGCATTTTATCTAATTATGTTATTTTAAGAGTAAAATTACTCATTCCATTGGCAAACTATCTCATTTACCTACTCAAATTAAGGGTGAATACCCTTAATTTAAGAAATTTTAACTTATTTTTAGATAGTTTTTGCAGTGCAGAATAATGTTTAAAGCTTTTGTCCTTAACATTTTTGCCTACATTATGTTAAAGGAAAGCTCTGTGTCGACACCTTGAAGCTTTCTCTCTCTGGTTCGTTTTCCAGAAAAGGGACAAACTGTTTAAATATCACTTTATGACGTATTAAATTGTATTAAATAACCATGAGACATGACAACAGATTTTGATAGAAGTTATAATCTTACTCAGATCAGAGAAGCTGCTTTACAGAAGGAAGCTGATTATCAACCAGGCTCACTGTTTGGGAAATGGCCACAATAAGCAGTTAAAGAAGGATTTTATACATCTCCAGTCTGTCACATCATCACATCATTACATAATACACGTTTGCAGATGAGGAGACATCCATGGCTCTAGCCATATCTTAATATTACACTTTATTCTTAGCAGAAGAACACCGCTCTTAGATAAATTACTGGGGAAAACATCAGTTCTGACATGCAACAGGCAGCTAATATTAAGGTGTAATAAACTCACACATCATCAATGATAATTATCCTAACAATTACTTTTATTTTTTTTTTACTTTAAGTAGTTTAAAAAAAAATTACTTTTATACTTTTACTTGAGTAAAAAGCTTAAGTTGATACTCTACAAAAGTTGTTTTAAACAGTAGGATTTGTACTTCTACTAGATTAATAAACAGTTTTTGCTACTCTGGTTATATGCCAACCTGTCTTTGTTTTATTTTTTAGATAAATGGGTACTATAAAGCTTATTTCAAAATTTCTGTTTGCTTGTCTATAGAGCTGAATGTTGGCATGGGGGAGAATGAAATAGAGAAAGATGGAAAAGAAAATGATGAGGAGAAACTGGAACCAAATGAAGCGCCCGTTAAGAGGAACTCATTTAGAATGAAACCAGGTGTATTCCGTGAGTACTAAATCTGAAGCGGAGCAGTTACACAACTCAGCCCCTTAAAAGATAAAGTCTTATTCACTATCAGGATCTTTATTTTTGGATCCAGTTCTTTCACAGTTAATCAGAGAGGGAATCGGTGCGAATCAAAGACAGCTGGAGATGACCCCTCTCACAAGAGCGATCGACCGCCATATACAGTCTGTCCTTTCACATGATACAGCCACAGCATATGCGCACGGAGCAATTGCTATCATTGTATATGGAGCTCCCCTGACAGGTAAAATTTCACCTTTTTCTTTTCTGTCATAATAGATTCAACTACAAACAGAGTCATTTCTAAACCTTATTTGACGTTGTTTTCCAGATAAAAGCAGCATGGCAGCAAGTTTGGCATATCACTATGGGGCAGTTTGCTTAAGTGTTGATGCTGTGATCACAGATGCGATTCAAAATGGCGTTTCTCCAGCCAGCCTATCAGCGAGACAACTTTATGATGCTGCTAAAGCTGATTATGATCAAAAAAAGACTGCAGAAGCTGGTAAGTCTAAAAGTCCAGTCATAAGCTACATTCACTAGGACGGCCTTAATGATCAATGCAGATTTTTTTGTAAAATCCAGTTTTTTTGCATTGCCGTTCACATTTCCAAACATATTCGACTTGTATGTGGTCTCCTCTGTCAACAACATTCATAGAGCTTAAAGGAATAGTACACCCAAAACATGATTAGCCTTCATTTTCTACTCACCCCCATGCTGAACAACACTCTGGAGTACTTTTTTGANAAATCAATGGGAACTACTAGACACATCTGCAATTATTGAAGATTTCCAGAAGACTTCACCATTAAATTCACCAGAGCTATAGTGAAACTGACAATGCCCACGTGCATGGCAGTTGGATGTTGAAACAGAAAGGGTGAAAGTAATAAACATAAGTTAATTCACCTTTCCGATTTATAATCCTCCACGGACGGGTCCGTGTTGGATTGCCAACTTGAAGAGGGAGGATTTGCCATTGAACCAGAGAGAAAAAACACATAATATGTAGGCAACATTTGGAAGAAGAATGTTTTCAAGATGACTTGGATAATAGCGCGTTGTGACAAACACCAGATACAGCTCTGGGACTTGATCAACAGCCGATACCGCACTGTGGCGTCACAAACATGTAGGTGGCAGTAGTGTTCTTTGACAAACATGGATGCCTCCAGTAAATCACATTCAAATGAAAATTACTCTTAATTTAAAAACACTTAACATTTATTTAACAGTATGTAATATTTTCATATTTGAAGGACCTTCAGAAGTTTTAATTCTGAATATGACCGGACTTTTCCTTTAAAAACACTGTTGTGGTGACTGTTAAATAGGAACCTATTTTTGGGCATCACTGGGCCATTTACGGTGCTTTAATGACCGTCCCTGTAGTCATACTGTAGCATACAACATACATTACAGGAGTGCATTTTCCAGCTGTTTTTGGAGTGAGTTCCTCCCTGCTGAATGACCCTCTAACAGGAGCCATTGTAGCCCTAGCTAACCTGAAACAGGGAATGTGTAGTCTGACATAGATCATTTTTGGTTTCCTTTCAGATCCTGCGGCGAATACAGGAATATGATGACAACGACACTCTGTTGCTCCCCCCCAGGATTCCTGGAGGGGGTCTTCCTGCAGAGCTGCTGGAATATTGCTCCCAGCTAAAGGATGATGGTTATTTCTACAAAACATTACTTCTTAGATATATGCAGAGGTGTCCGGTAACAAAGTACAAATACTTTGTTACTTTAGAAATAATATAAATATTGGCTATCTATTATTTACTGGAAAAAATAGATAATAGACTAATTTGTTTTATTTCATTGAAGCTCATTTTCATTATGGCCTGTACAGAATCAGATTTACTGCCAAGTAAGTTTGCACTGACAAG